CTATTCTCTCCCCCATAGACTTCAATGCCGTAAACATATTTCATCCAGTTTTTCTCAGTCTTACCCCCACCCCAATGCCAGCCTCATTCTACAACAGTGGTACCATATAGCATTTGTCCCTTTGTGACTGAGATACCTCACTCAGCATAATGTCCTCCAGGGTCACCCATTTTCATTGTTTGAATCTTATGTTTATTATTTTGTGATTTCTTTTGTAAGTTATTCTTTAGCCATTAGGAATAGAATTTCAGTATTTTTCTTAGTAAATTTCTGTGCATTTCATTTTTATGAAAAAGAGGAAACATTTGCCATTTTTCTTATATATATTTTCTTGCTGTACTTTATTACATTTCTATTTCTTATTGTATGATAGAATTGTTGTAGTAATTGATTTTCAATGTGTATTTTCTTCAACTACTTTTTTCTTTTTATTAATTTTAATGAAAATTTACAGAGACTTTGGATTTCCATTCATTCGTTTTTGCACCCTTCTCCCTAACCACGCTCTTCCCCTCAGTTTACTCTTCTCTTTGAAAAGCAAAAGAAAAATTCTCTATTTGTTATGCAATCCCTAACCCCAAGTCCACTATGTAGCCTTCATTCTGGACTCCTGTCATGACAATCATACCTAATTATATATCCCTTTTAAACAGTTCTCTCCCTCATCTGTTTCAATGCAGTATACATAATTTATACCATCTTTCTCAGTCTCCCCTCAACCCCGATGTCAGTCCTGTTTTACAATAGTAGCACTATACAGTATTTGTCCTATTGTGACTGAGATATTTCATTCAGCATAATGTCCTCTAAGGTCACCCATTTTGTTTAATAATTAATATAATTCATGAGTTGCTTCTTTTTCAATGCAGCAAAGTATTCCATTGTGTGAATATACCACAGCTTCTGTATCCATTCGTTTGTTGATGGGCACTTCTGTTGTTTCCAACTCTTTGCTATTGTGAACAAAGCCGTAATAAACATGTGTGTGCATATATTTGCTTAAGTGGCAGTTCTAGTTTCTTTAGGGTATATTCCCAGTAGTAGAATTGCTGGGTCAAATGTTATTTCTATTTGCAACTTTTTGAGAAAGCTCCATTCTGCCTTCCATAGTGGCTGTACCATTTTACCCTCCTACCAACAGTGAATAAGGGTTCCAGTTTCTCCACAACCTCACCAGCATTTATTGTTTGCTGTAATGTTAAATGTTGCTGTTCTTACTGCAGTGAGATGATATCTCATAGTTGTTTTGAACTGCTTTTAAATTTAAAAATTTTTCCCTCATCCAAGGTTAAGTTGCCTGTATTTTCTTTAGTGGTAAATCTCTTATTTTTCATAAATTCTCTTAGGTGCTGATAGTACCTGGGTATGCTTTCTTCATTGATAAAAAAGCTCCAAGCCCTTACTTTCGTGTGTCCTTCTCTATTGCTTCTCCAGAACAGATGGATGTGGTAAGTATAGGGTTTTCTTCAAATTTTACCTGGTATCAATATTTTTTGTTGCATGTGATCCTTTTGTAAACTCCTATATTATTCCTCTTCACTGTCTAGAAACTAAGTATTTGTTAAAAATTCATAGGATACCATGAAAGCACACATTTTACTTTGTTGCTAGACATCTACAGACAAATGATGAGAACAAGCTGTAGTTAAATTTTGTCTTCAACCAAAGGAATGTCTATCTGTGTTTCATTGACTATGCAAAGGCATTTGATTGTGTGGACCACAACAAACTGTGGCTAACTCTGAGAAGAATGAGAATCCCAGAACACTTTATTGTGTTTTTCTTGGACCAGGAAGCAGTCAGCAGAACTGAGCAAGGGAACACTGCATGGTTCAAAATTGGGAAGGGTGTATGCCAGGGATGTGTCCTATCTCCACACCTTTTCAATCTATAGCAGAACAGATTATCCGGGAGGCTGGTTTCTATGAGGGAAAGTGTGGCATCAGGATTGAAGGAAGACTCATCAACAATCTGCATTATGCAGATGACACAACCCTGCTTGCTGAAACTGAGGAGGACCTGAAAGCACTTGCTGCAGAAGGTCACAGACTGCAACCTTCAATATCAATTGAAACTCATCATCAAGAAAACAAAGATTCTCACCACTGGGCCGATTGGCAGCCTTGTTATAAATAGTAAGGAGATTGAGATTGTAAACAGCTTTCTTTTGCTTGCCTTCACAATCAATACTATTGGCACCAGCAGCCAGGAAATGAAAAGACGAATTGCATTGGAAAAGTCTTGTCAGAGGCTTCTCCAAAGTACTGAAGAGCAGTGAGGTCAGTCTGGAGACTAAGGTGAGCCTAATACAGGCCATGGGCTTTGGAATCATTTGCTATGCATCAGAAAGCTAAACAATGACTAGGGATGATAGAAGGAGAATTGATGCCTTTAAGCTGTGATGCTGAAGAAGAGTATTGAATATACAATGGACTACTAAGAGAAAGAACAGGTTCATCCTGGAGAGGGTGAGGCCAGGCTACTCCTTAGAGGCAAGGATTCTGAACCTTCGTCTGACATACTTTGGACATGTTGCAAGGAGGGACCCGTACTTAGATGTCATGCTGGGGAGGCTGGAGGGACAGCGCAGTGGAAGACCCTTGATCAGATGAATTGATTCAGTGACTGGGATAATGTGGGTATGTGTGTCAGAAACAATATAAGATGAGCACAGGATAGAGCAGGTTTTAGGGCTGTTGTTCATAGGGTCACTATTAGTCAGAGGCGACTCAACAGCACATAATAACAAACTATTGCTTAGAACCTACAGTGTTGTCAATTAGCAACATATCCTGTAGATAACCTCTTTTTCCTTCATCATAATAGTCAGTTTCTTTAAAGAAAATATTGTTGTTATATATTGTTACATCAACTACAACTCATAGCAATCCTTTGCACTAATATCTCTAAATCTTGCCCTACCCTTAGCCAGTATCACTGTCTGCAACACACTTGCCTCTATTAGCCCAGTCACTGTGTCAATCCATCTCATCCAGGGTCTTCCTGTTTTGCAGTGACCACTCTTCTGGTGTTTTTTTAATATCAATACTATAAATTATTTTTTAAATTAATTTTAGTAAAAGTTTACAGAGACTTAGGGTTTTCAGTCATTCATTGTTGCACTTTTCTCCCCCTCCCCCCAATTAACTCTTCTCCTTGAAAAGAAAGAAAAACGCTTTCATTGTTATGCAATCCCTCCCCCCACGTCCACTCCACTATGCAGCCTTTACTCTGGACTTCTGTAATGACAAGAATACCCATTCATATGCTCCCTTTAAACAGTTCTCTACCCCATCTGTTTCAATGCAATATACATCATTCTACCCCTCCTTTTCTGTATTCCCTCAACCGCGATGTCAGTCCCATTTTACAACAGTGGCCCTATGCAATATCTGTCCTTTTGTGACTGATATATTTCACTCAGCCTAATGTTCTCTAGGGTCACCCATTTTGAATAATATTGCATGAGTTCCTTGTTTTTCAATGCTGCATAATATTCCATTTTGTGACTGTAGCACAGCATCTCTATCCATTCGTTTGTTGATGGGCTCTTGGGTTGTTTCTAACTCTTACCTATTTTGAACAAAGCCAAAATAAACGTAGGTGTGCATATATTTGCTTGGGTGGCAGTTATGGTTTCTTTAGGGTGTATTCCCAGAAGTGCAGTTGCTGGGTCAAATGGTATTTCTGTTTGGAACTTTTTGAGAAAGCACCATATAACCTTCCGTAGTGGTTGCACCATTTTACCCTCCCACCAACAGTAAATAAGGGTTCAAGTTTTCCACAATCTCACCAGCATTTGTTGTTTGCTGTTCTGTTCAGTTTCGTTATTTTTACTGGGGTGAGATGATACCTTATAGTGGTTTTGATTTGCATCTCTCTTAGAGCTGACCATCCACTCTTCAAAGTATGATGTTCTTCTTTAAAGACTGGTCCTTGTTCGCAACATGGCCAACATAGGTGAGATGGAATTTCAAAATCCTTGAATCCAAAGAGCAACTAACTTGGTTTCACCCTCTTCAGGACAGATGTGATTGTTCTCTTCCCAGTTCATGGAAAGTCCAATAATCTTCTCCAGCACCACAGCTCAAAGGCATTGAATGTCTATTTGTGTTTTATTGACTATGCAAAAACATTTGACTGTGTGTGTCACAACAAATTGTGGCTAACATTGAGAAGAATCAGAATCCCAGAACACTTGATTGTGCTCATGTGAAACCTATATTTACACTAGGAAACTGTTGTCCAAGCCGAGTAAGAAAACACTGCCTAGCTCAAAATCAAGAAAGGAGTTCATTAGGGATGTGTCCTTTTTCCATACCTTTTCCATCTAAAAAGAACAGATCATTTGGGAGGCTGGATTTTATGAGAAAGAATGTGTCACCAGGATTGGAAGAAGACTAAACAACAATCTGAATGATACAACCTTGACACAACCTGACTTGCTGAAACTGGGAGGAACTGAAGCATTTGCTGTGGAAAGCCAAAGACTGCAATCTTCAATATCCACTGAAGTTCAACATCAAGAAAACAAAGATTCTCACCACCAAGCCAATTGACAGCACAATAACAGATGGAAAAGAGAAGGAGATTGTTAACAATCAACACTCCAACAATCCACAATCAGCACTCTTGGTACTAGCATTCAGGAAATCAAAAGACTCATTGCATTGAGAAAGTCTGCTGTCGGGGACCTCTCTAGAGTGTGAAGAACAGCAATGACAGTCTAGAGACTAAGGTGCACCCAATCCAGGTCATGGTCTTCACAATTACTTGCTATGCATCACAGAACTGGACAGTGAATAAAGAAAACAGAAGAGTCAATGCCTGAAATTGTGGTGCTGAAGAAGAGTAAAGAAAATACTAGCTAGATTTAAATAGAAAAATATTCTTAATTAATTACAAAGTCAGATTCACTAAGTGAGGTAAATAGCTAAAATGCTCAGACCTAACCAAAAGATTGGAGGTTTGTTTCCAGCCAGAGGCACCTCAGATCCTCTAAAAAAATGAACCACTGAATCTCTCTGGAGCATCGTTCTACACATACACATCCTGGGTCTTCCATGTCTTAGAGCTGACTCAGCAGGAATTATTACAGAGTTTAACTTTAGTAGAAGTAACAAGAAGAAACCAAAATCTTAAGAATGATGAGTGTAGAAATCTCAGGAGGAGAGTCATTAATTGAGCACTGCTTTGAGAACCTTGAAGAGTTTGCGCTTATCCTTGGAGATGATCATTTATTTCATGTTCTGTTTTTTGTTTGTTTTCACGTCACAAAAATTCTTTTCATAAGCTCTCTGTGCTTTTATATATTGATGAGTTGGACAATTGAAACTATATAAAGTATATATGCAAATGAAAGACTCTAGATAATGAAATTCTATAAGCATCAATAAAAATGTTTTTTCTAGAGGAAGGGGGAAAAAAGATGGCTTCAGCCATCAAAAAAACAAAAAGCAACCAAGAATTCTGAGACACTTATTTCTGCATATGTATGTTAATATTTATGGCTCCTATTAGACTCAATTTTTCATTCACTTATCTCAACTTAAGAAGGCAGTTCTTTGTTTTAATTTCAGACTTTATGGGCAGATTTTTCCTAAAAAGCATCCTAATTTTATCAATTTTTATCTTTTTTCTGTTTTAGGCATGTCAGAGATTAGCCCAGCTCATAAAAGAATCTTTATGAAGAAATCAAACTAATTATGGGTTTTTTTCCAGATAAGATGTTCCTGTGTTTGGGCTGGAAAAAATTAATGGTATTTGACATATAGATTACATATAATCAGATTGCCAAAATATATTTGTAATCTTCTGATACATTTTGATAAATTTTCACCCTGCAAAAATTATTTTTATCTTAGCTTTTACTCTAAAAGACTATAGATGCTTTGTAGTTTCCCACAAGTTTTCTTTAGATGTAACATTTTATAAAGAATTATTTTGGAATTTTAAGGAAATAATGAAGTTTACAATGGCACATGTTTGTGTGTGTGTTTTGTTTATTGGAGAATTTAGCAAGAACTTATAGTAAAAATGTGTTCTAATTTGACCATTCATTATCAATTTCTCTTAGGCATACAACAGACACTGTTGATGCTACACAAATTCCTTTAAAATAAAATTCTGAAAGAAAACGTAACTTAAGGATTCAGACTGATTTTTTTCTGAGGGGGATTTCATTTATAAAAAGGGAATAACATGCATTTGAAAACTTGTATTTTCACAATACTACACAATTTATAGAAACCATGTTCTTAGGATTTATATCATTTAAGTTTACTACAAACCTGTGAGTCAGCATGGTGGCACTGTAGGCTAAGCATTGGACTTCTAACCACAAGATCAGACCTTCAAACACACCACTAGGTGAAGTGGTCAGATCTTGGAAATATTTACAGCCTTAGAAGCTCTATGGAGCAGTTCTGTTTTCCCCTAGAGGGTCACTATGGGTTATAGCAGATTAAATGGCAGTGAGTGAGAACAACCCTATCAGACAGTTGTTACGTTAGGAGCTGTTGAAATGAATATAACTCATAATGACCCTATGAACAACAAGAAAGGATATTGGCATATTCTGTGCCATTCTCATTATCTCTGACACACTTGAGCCCATTGCTGCAATCACTGTGTCAAGCTATCTTGTTAAGGGTCTTCCTTTCTTTTGTTGACTCTCCGCCTTTCCAAACACGATGTCTCTTCCTAAGGACTAGCTTCTAGCAATGTGCCCAAAGTATGAGATGAAGCTTCACCATTGCCCCAAGGAGCAATCTGGCTGTACTTTTCCCAAGACTTACTCAGTACTCTTCTCCAACACCACAACCTAAAGGCATCAATTTTCTTTTGTTGTTCTTACTCATTGTCTAACTTTCAGGTGCAAGTAAAAATTTAATATACCATTGCTTGTATCAGGCACACTTTAATCTTTAAACTGGTATCATTGCTCTTTAACACTTTGGAGAGGTCCTTCACAGATTTTCCCAGTGCAATATTGTGAATGAGGTTAACAGCATCTTTTGGTGCTATGGAAGTTGTTGGTGGAGAGTCTTGCCTCTTGTGGAGTTGGTGGAGAGCAGATGATACTCCCCTCATGCCAGCCACATTTTTAATACAAAGGTTAACTTCCCAGAAGTGGTATTGATAAAGTATGCTGACTTTACACTTTGATACATGTTTCCAAGATTCCTCATTCAAAGATTCCAGCAATTCACACTGATATTAATACTACATTTTCTCCATTAGACTTCCTTTGTAAAGTTGAGTATTAATGGAGTAAATTATCTCGGAGGTTAAAGTACTTGGCCCAAGTAGTATAGTCATAAATGACAAAAAGTATTTAGCCCAGGCCCAGTAACTCCTGGTTCACAGAAAAGCACTAGCCCTAACACCCATTCCACCCTTCATAGACAATTTCTGACCTAGTCTCTTAGGGAAAACTTGTACCCTAGTTTTATCCAAGCCAAGACTTCTGATCAGTTCATTCTGGCTCAATTCCATGTTGAAAATGTATATTAAGTGTACTCAAACTCATTATTGTCTGATCCAAACCAACTCATAGCTGACCCAACAGCAGAAGTGCTTTGCTTACAAAGTATACATTTTCTTTTTCTAAAAAAAAAAAAGTATACATTGTTTTTCACACAGGATCTTTTCCATTTCCTTTACCCATCCCTTCCTGTACCCATCAAATTGTGTGACCTTATGAATACCCACCCCCATCCTCACACCTCTGCTCCTACCTTTCACCCCTTGGATCCTCATACTCATTTAACTAGTTATCTCGCTGTTTCTACACAATGGCATTATATAGTATTTGTCCTTATGGAATGAGTTAATTCACTCAGCATAATGATTTCCAGTCCCTCCCAAGTTAGGTAGTGACTTTCAAATCATTGCTCCTGCATGCTACGTAGTATTCCATCATGCAAACGTACCACAATTTCTCTTGACATTTGATTGTGGTTGGACATTTGGGCTATTTCCACATTCTTTATTATTATTATTATTATTATATTTTAAT